TTCTTTTAACTTTGTTTTATCTCATATTCACAGAGAAGGTAATGCGGCGGTAGATTTTTTAGCTGATTTGGGGGGTAATTTGAATGAGTTTATGGAATTTACTAGTACCTCTTTACCTCCCAAATTGGTTGGCATTACTCATTTGGATCGGGTGGGTATGCCGTATATTAGACTGGGGTAAGGTGGTGTTTTTTCTGGGTGGTTCTTCTTGGGGGAGTTGGGTGCTCCAGGTTTGGATGCTGGTATTTCTTCTTCTATTTATTGCTGGCTGTGCTCTCTCAGTTTTATTGTTTGTCATTTGTTTTGTTGGTTTAACTATAACAGGTTGGATATAATTTTTTCTTTGCTTAGTTTTTTATCCAGGTCTCGTCTGTTCGATTGGTTTAGTAACATCCTTTTGATTTCTTCTCCCATTTATGCTCTTATGGTTGTTTCTGCTTTGTTTAACTTTCTGGGGTGGTGTTGGAATTGCACTGCTGGGTGGGGCTGCATTTTAGTTTGCTTGTTGCGAGTGTTTCGTTTTCCTAGTGGGTTTACTATTCAGTGGATTGGTCTGTTGATGAAGACTGGGTTGGAGTTGATGATAACTGGTAAGTTTTTTGTTTCTACTGTTATTTTTCCTTTAGTGTTCTTTGTGATTTTTTTGCAGGTTTGCTTCCACCTTGAGGGAGTTTTTGGCTTGAAAGCTTGGGCTGATTGGATCTATTTTGAGCTTTCTCATTTTTGGGCAACTTTTTTGTGCCGCTTTAGAATGTTTCTAGGTCTTAATGTTTTTGGCGTAGATGGGGATCTTCGGCCCTTAGGTTTTTATTTCTTTTTGAGTGTTTGTAGCTCTTTGAGCATTAGCGGGCTGAAAATCTCCTTAAGGACTTGTAATTTTGACTTTAATCGACGCGTAGGCCCTTCCGTGGGTTTAACTTTAAAAAAAAAAAATCTAGATTCAACACTTTCAATGCTATGTTATTCTCCTTTTGCTTCTCACCTTCATCAATATGCCTTTGAGTCACTCATTGCTCGTAAGTAATTAGTGATCCAAAAAGATTGTTAATTGAATAAACATTTAAATCATTAAACTCTATAATAATAGTTATTTTTGCATCATAAGCAGCAACAACAACAACAACAACAGCATCAAGTCTTTATCCCACTATGTGGGGTCGGCTACATGAATCCTTTTTCTCCATTGTGTTCTATTAAAAGTCAAATTCTTGTTTAAATCTAATAAAGAAAGGTCATTCCTAATATTTTCTAACCAAGTCTTTTTAGGTCTACCCCTACCTTTCTTAATATAAGTCAAATCTAATACCTCTACTCTCCTAACCGGGTCATCGAAAGGCCGTCGTTTTATGTGGCCAAACCATCTAAGGCGACTCTCTCTAATTTTATCTTCTACTGGAGCTACTCCAACCTTTTCATGTATATGTTCATTTCGTATCTTATCTCTAAGGGTAAAGCCACTCATCCACCTGAGCATCCTCATCTCTGTCACACTTAACTTAGTATTATGCTTCTCTTTTAAAGGCCAACATTCGGCACCATAAATCATTGCAGGCCTCACTACCATCTTATAGAATTTTCCCTTAAGTTTGAGGGGTACATTTCTATCACATAACAAGCCCGATGCATTCCTCCACTTCAACCATCCAACTTGAATTCTGCTGATAATATCCCCATCTATTTCACCATCACTTTGAACAATTGATCCAAGATATCTAAAACGTGTACTCTTATTAATGACTTGATCGCCCAAAGTCACAATCCCTTCAGTAGGTCTATTACTACTAAAATTACACTCCATATATTTCGTTTTAGATCTACTCAAGCGAAAACCTTTAGACTCTAAGGTTGACCTCCATAATTCAAGTTTACCTTCAACTCCCTCTCTAGTCTTATCAACAAGAAGAATATCATCAGCAAAAAGCATACACCAAGGTACATCCTCTTGCAAATGTCTAGTGAGAACATCCATGACTAAAGCAAAAAGATATGGGCTTAAGGCTGATCCTTGATGTAACCCAACCGAAATAGGGAAATACTTGGTCAATCCACCTTGTGTTTGAACACATGTAATAGCTCCTGCATACATATCTTTAATGATTTGAATATAAGCATTATTGACTCCTTTCTTTTCAAGAACTCTCCATAGCACTTCTCTTGGAACTTTATCATATGCTTTTTCTAAATCAATAAATATCATATGTAGATCCTCCTTATTTTCTCTATATTTCTCCATCAAACCTCTTAATAAATGTATGGCTTCCATAGTCGACCTACCCGGCATGAATCCAAATTGATTTTGAGAAACATTAGTATCACGCCGCAACCTATGCTCCATAACTCGCTCCCATAGTTTTAAAGTATGACACATTAACTTAATACCTCTATAATTCGCACAATCTTGTACATCACCTTTATTCTTAAAAATAGGAATTAACACACTCATTCTCCACTCATCTGGCATCTTTTTAGTCTTCAAAATAGTATTAAAAAGTTTAGTAAGCCATGAAATTCCTTCATCTCCTAAGCATTTCCACGCCTCTATTGGAATATCATCAGGTCCAACAGCTTTTCCACCCTTCATTTTCTTTAAAGCCTCTCTAACTTCAGTTTTACTAATACGCCGATAAAAATAGAAATCTTTATTTTCATTTAGGGTGCTAAGGTCACTACAGTCAATCTTATTTTCACAATCTTCATTAAAAAGGTTAGCAAAATATCTCATCCATCTTTGTTGAATATCATCTTCTAAGAAAAGTATTTTTTGATCTTCATCTTTAATACACTTCACTTGAACTAAATCCTTACTACTCCTATCTCTTTGTTTGGCTAACTTATACATATATCTTTCTCCTTCTTTAGTATCTAATCTATTATATAAATCACTAAAAGCTAATGTCTTTGCATCGCATATGGCTTTCTTAGCATCCTTACGAGCAACTTTATATATTTCCCAATTATCGGAATTTTTAAAATTAAACCAATTTTTATAACAAAGCTTCTTATTTTTTATCTTTTCTTGCACATTAGGATTCCACCACCAACTATTTTTACTATTAGGAGCTTTTCCCTTTGATACTCCAAGGACATCTTTTGCAATATTCTTAAGATCACTAGCCACTTTTTCCCACATAATATTAGCATCCTCATGCACAGACAAAATCTTACGATCTAAAATCTTATCTCCAAAAATATTTTTGTTAATATTCTTTAAAACTACATCCATCAATTAAAATAAAAAAATATGATCTTTGAAATCATCAATAAAAAATCTGAATGTTTACAAAATAATTGGCTATAACATCTAGTTCTGTCTACTAACAAGCATGGTATCAAATAAGCCGTCAAATCTAGGATCATTTCTGCCAGTCACCGGATTAGAATTAGATTTGTCCTCGTGTGGATTATTTAACGGTGATATGCATCTTGCATTTCTATTTGATAAACTGTTAACTGTGTACCATGATTTTTCACAATGGCAGATCTCTTACTAATCGCAGACGAATAATCAATATCATATGTACTCCTTGGCTCCTCCAAACGAACTTTAGATTGTAGGATAGCCTTGGCAGGGTGAACCAACTTTAGTAGACTTCTGATGCTGATTGCAATGCAAATAGAATAGAATGTATATCTTTTCTTACAAAACCTCTTGGCTGCTTGAAAGTGAAATATGAGCATCGTTGAAGCTATACCACTGACCAAAAGCAACCTAAAAATAATTATAAGAAATTAATTCCGCACAAAAAGTTAACATAGTATATAGCTCAAAACCAATGGAAACCAAGCTTGTAAGAGAAGAAACCTTGATATATGGATAATAGTGCTCTAAAGTCATCTTTTTATTTATCAACTGCATCATTCTTTCTTCAATGATGATTCCCCGAGTGACAAGTCAGTATATCAACACCTCCATGTATAAAATAAAAACTATAAAACTAAATTATATTATGATATCAACCATAGCATAACATCATTTGAAAATGAAATAGCAGAGACTACTTAAAACCCAACAACAATTTATTTTTATGTAATTCAGGATTTAATATAAAAGTGGCTAAGATAAGATAATAGAGTAATAGAGAAGTAGAGTTTTGTGAGCAGTAGAAGCAATGGCTACAAAAAGGGAATCATAAGAATGAAAACCTTAAAGATGTCAAAAAATGCTAAAAATTACAAAACTATAACATAAAAGCAAGTTTCAGAATTAAAGCTGCATTTGGAGAAAACACACTTTCATTTTACTAGTGACAAAACCATGCTCTCCTGTGCATGTTCCTGTTTAAAATTTATAAGATGAATCAATAATCTGAGGTTTCCTCATCTTCTTAGGTTTCGCTAGATAAGTTGATAAAAATAAAATATCCATCTTACTATAAGTTTTATCATGATGTGTTTATGGTTAGCATGCATGGGGCTGATACTTCTTATATCTCTAAACATGTAGCATGTACCTTCCATTGACAAGGTCGTGTGAACCATGAAGTTGTTTTAGCCTCTCTGCTTCTCATTTCTGTTCCTCTTGCTATAGGTAAAATAAGACAAAAGTATGAAAATTCCCATCACAAGCATGCACAATATTACTGTGCTGCATAAAACATAATTTGCATGCTGATAAAGGATTTCAATGGTAAAAAAGCACAGCATAGTTCAGTGCAAATAGCAGAAATATCTTTCAGGCTTGTTATAAATAAAAAATGCAACTACAGGATCAATAAATTTTTAATTATCAAAATTTCCCTTACTAAACAGCATACCACAGCAATGGTGATTCATCAAGAATCTGTTTTGATTTTGATATGCAATCCGCAAGCTTTGAGAAAGGAACACAAACATCCTTCTTTATCTGCATGCAAAAATTTAAAGCTACTTCAAAAAAAAAAAAAAACCAAGTGCTTCTCATCAAGCTTCATTGGTCGAATATTCCATGGGTATTGCAAAGTAAATAACCTGAATATTAGATATTATGAAGGCTACAATGTTAGACAATCTTAAAAGCTAATAATCGCCTTGATCAAATAGCATCCCTTTCATATTTTTTCTTCTTTGCATTTCTTATAAAGGCAGGACACAGCATAAAACAGTTTTATTTCATTTTTTTTATTTATATGTTTTTTAATAATAAGGAGAAGAAAGTTATGACAATTTTATTGTTCAACTTGCCGATCTTCAACAGAAACAAAATCAACTTTTGAAACCCTGGATTTAGGTCAAAAAAGAGAAATTCAAGAGTCCGCAAGAAAAACCTACAAGTCAAACTGATAACCTTTGCAAGCGATGGTAGACCAGCGAAATCGCAAAGAATTGGCGGAGCAATATGTCTTTGAAAGGAAGTAGGCTTTCAGGAGGGAGATGTGGCATACCGAAGCAATCAATTGGAAGAAGAAACTGCAAGCCATGTGATGATGTCGAGAGAAAGAAACTGCAAGCCAAGCACAGGCATTCGATCTGAAGGAAGAGGAATGGTGTCGCGAGCCAATTGCGGGCATATCGACACATTCGATCAGGAGGAAGAGGAAGAAATCCTCACCGAGCGTGATCTCCTTGGAGAAAGAAATCGCACGCGCACTTAGCCCGGGAGAAGGAAGTTAGGTCTAATAGATTTCTTTTATGATATATAATTAAAAATGTCATATAATATTGTAGTAAAATGGTTTTTTTAGTAGTTGCATGGGAGAGAGGTTGGAGATCGCGGCTAATATCAAAAATTAGCGGCCAATTTTTCTCTTTTGTAATTAATATAAAGATTTATATTAATTTAGTGGCGTTACTTATTTTTTATCGCTAAAAGGTTATTTTTAGCGACCATGTTTTATTTTTTTGGCCTCTATTAACCTATTTTCTTATAGTGTGATGATACCTTTAGCATCCAACATCCATTCTTTGATTATCTTCCTCAATGAACGGAAAGCCAACAACTTCAAATATCCATTATCCCAATGCAAACACCTAAACACAAAAGCTAAAAGAAATCTTCCTCTATGGTATCTAAAAACACCAACTACTCCAGCTTCATTAGAACGAAGCAAATTCGCATCAATGTTTATTTTAATCCAATCGAGTGGAGGGGTGGGGGGTGCCAAAAATAAGAATTCAACTGTGTAGGCGGGTTAACACCCCAGTGGTCCGAAAATAGATTAAACTTTGACGAAATTGATGCAAGGCTAATAGCATTAGAAACAATAAAGCCCATGCCAAGCTCTTGACCGTCATGAATAAGTTTTTTTATACTCATCCATGAATAAAATACCAAAGAGCAATACAAGCTAGCAATGAAAAGATTAACTTTAGCTATCCTTCCCAATTTATCTAAAGAATCCAGCAAGGAAGAAAAAATAGAAATAAGAATGCCCCATATTCACCAAGGCAATAGCTTGAATTAACTTGGAACATTTGACTAGAACGTGCTCAGTATTTTCTACCGCCACACACCCTCTCGGACAATGATTGTAATTCAACAATCTTCTATACATCAAGAAGTTTGTAGTAGAAATTGCATTCTTTAAGAGGTGCCACCAGAAACAATCAATCTGAGCATGTAGTTGCATACTCTTCAACCATTTCCAAATGTCTAACTTATCTGGATCTTCTACTTTCAAACACAAGGACATACCAGTAGTTGTTCTACCAGAGAAGTTGTTTATGAGTTCTAGTTCATCATACAAAAGCTCAGAGTAAATCTTGATTTTAAGAATGATTTCAATCAAAGCCTATCCAAAGTACATAATCAGCTCCAACTGATTCCAAATTCCACCAGTAATAAAATTCTCCAAAGGAGGAAAATCCATCTCCTCCATAGCATTAAAGGTAGGCCACCTATCAAAAATTCTATCTAAACCCCAAATATCATGTAATATGTTAAGTGAAATACCTGAAGCAATCCTCCATCTCACAATTGGCCTAAGAGCTTTAGCACCACTCAACAATATCTTCTAAGTTGAAGAAGCATTATTCATGGGTACAACACACCAAATTTCTCTGTCATACTTAGCATATAAAGATTTATTCAGAATAGAATATCGATTGTTAAGAATTTTGCTCTTAAAGGTCACATTATGCCCCTTTTCTCACTGCAAAGGTCAATGTTTGCTATAAGGCAATTTGTCTAGCTTCTAAATCGAACTTTGCCAGAAAACTCCCCACTGCCTTTCCCCTCAACACTTCTTTATGGAATCTTAAGAGTTTTATGATAGTAAATATTTGAGTTTGCAAGTAACCCTAAGGGAAATGCTTGAGTTCTCCAGCAAACCTATCACTAATTTGAGAAAAAAATAAGAATAATGTAAAAATCTAGTTGAAATCAGTCCCAAAATGATGGATTGTGAAAAGGGAATCAAAGCCAAACAAACACAAATCAAGATAGAAGTGATCCTCAATTCGAGAGGGGGATCGTTCTCTACCAATATCTAGTTTGAGCTCTCAATAGATATCACTTCAACTCCTCTAATACTTTGTCCATCTCCTCAGTATCCCTCCACTGAAGAAACTGGAGTACTACTACTCCCAAAAATTCACCAAGTGAGGAGGGTGCCTTCAATAAAACACATTAAATATGGTCATCTGAGAATCAAAATAATAGGAGGGGTTGTACCAGTACTCAACCCACGATAGCTACTTAGCCCCTAGCCTAGTGTCTCCAACATGAAGCATCTCAGATAGGTCACCAAGCTCTTATTGATAACTTTTGTTTGGCCATCCATCTAAACATGGTAAGCGGTGCTTCTTTTCAGAATTGTTCCCTATAATCTGAACAATTCCCTCCAAAAATGACTGAGGAATACCTTATCTCTATCTCACACTATTGCCTCTAGCACTCCATGCAGTCTAAAAACCTCCTTATAAAAGCTAAAGCCATTGTCACTACAGCGCATGGATGTCAGAGGGGAATGAAATGAGCATACTTGCTTAAACTGCCTACCACCACCAGAATTATTGTGAAACCTTCTGAACGAGGTAGCCCATCTATGAAGTACATGGATATCTCCTTCCATACTCATCTCGATAAAGCCAATGACTATAGCCTACAACATAACTAGGTATTTATTCGCGTGACAGACCTCACACCTAGCCACTATCTCATTTATATCTTAGTGTATCCCTTTCAAGTACAGCTCTCAGGTTAACCTTTTGTATGTCTTTTGGCACCCCTGAATGGACCCTAATAGCACTTCTATGAAACTCTTGGAGTATGTTTGGAATGTGGATTAAGGTTTGGGGTATCACAAACCTCCCTTGATATAGCAGTCTGTCCCCCCTCCAATGAGTTCTCTGAATGGCTACTCCCTTCCCTCAGTCAATCAGTCATGATCTTCCTCACTCCTCATCTATAACGCTCTCATCCTGGATTGCCTCAGTCAATCTGTCATGATCTTTCACTGGTCAGCTACTACCCCTTCCTTCCCCTTCCTTAGACACTATATGACCCAAATACTCCACATTGGTTTGAGCCACTACAGGAAAACGTCAAAATCCAGCGGTTTTTTCCGGCGGTTACCCTATATTAATCGGCGGTTTTTTGGACTACCGGCGGCTTTACGGCGATTTTTTGGCCGCCGGAAAAAATTGCGTAGGAAACTTTCATCGGCGGTTTTTTACCAGTGGTTTATCTTGCCAGCGGTTTTCCGGCGGCTCCGACCGCCGGTTTAAACCGGCGGTTTTCCGGCTGTGAAGCCTCCGGTTATTTGACCGACGGCTTACCGGCGGTCTATTTACCGACGTTCGCGGCGGTTTAGTCGGTCGTCATTTGTTTTTAAAACTGTCGGCCTTCGCCGGTAGACCGCCTGTGACTATACCGGCGGTAGCCGGCAGTCTAACCGTCGGTATGACCGACGCTTATAACCGCCGGATGTCCACCATAGAACCGCCGGTGGCCATCGGTAATTGCCGGTAATAAATCAGCGGTGTAATGACATTACCGGCGGCATCTCAATGGCCATCCGGTATTATTGTTTCAGGCGGCTAAACCGCCGGTTAGCCGCCGAAAACCTGTAGCACCTGCAAAAAAAAATGACAGCATCCCCTCTATTTGAGAGAGGTTCACCCTAAAGTCTAAACCTGCAGAAAAAGCAAGATATCTTGGGCAACACGCCACTATATTCATCAGAACCATAAATTAAAATACAATCACAAGCTCATCATAAAATTACAATCACAAGTTCACAAGTAAGTTTAATTACAATCACAAATTCATGGTAATGTTACAATCACAAGTTCAGAAGTTCACAAGTTCACAAGTTCTAATTAATACAATCATCAAACATAAAAAATATATAATCATCATCTGTATCCTCACTGTCTGCAAATGGCTGCTCCTGTTGGTCCTTCTTCCTCTGTTTTTTAGCTATGTAGGATTGCAACTCTGCTTGCATTTCATTCTGAACCTTTCTCATTTCTTCAATCTCTCTAGATTGAACCTTTTTCATCTCTTCAATCTCTCTAGTAAGCGCTGCAACCCTTTCGCTTACAGATTCTTCAGCTCCACTTGGATCATGAAATGCAGAGGTGTATGAACTTCCCTCAATAGCAAAAGCCTGTGAACCCATGCCATATACCCTCCTCCTCTGTCTTCCACCAATAACTTATGACCATGTTTGATACTCAGAAATATGGGCCGATCCAGAAGATGATCCCTCGCCAGTGGACTGCCGACTTTCTCTAGCTCGTACGGAATCATCCTGCGAGTTACAATTAGTTTTATTAAAATAAATTTTTATTCTAAAACTCCAATAAATTTTACTCACATGAGCCTTCTTAGACTTCTCATCAACCCACTAATGGTCAGCTTGATGTTGATGAGTTCTTGTATGCAACTCCAATGGTGTTGGCTCCCGACCAAGGTGCTCTTTCTGAAAATTTGATGCTTAGTTATACTAACATAAATATATATAATAAACCAATTCAAAACACTTACCAGTCGCCGCCTATGTTCCGTATGAGGTACAGATCCACCAATATGAAGAGAGCTTCCTAAATCGCCGCAGTCAGAGGCTCTGTTCCGTTTATTCTGCTCTCTCATTTTTATAAACTCCGGGGTAGCCCAAGTACTACTCAAATCTGCCCAAACGCCCTCTCCAATCCAATTAGGACGCTGCCCGGACTTTCTAATATCCGTGAACATGTTTCTGAGATGGGTCGCTCCTCTCCTCTCAAAATTTGATCTGATCCTCGTGCTGTACTCAGGCAACCACCTAAATTCTTTATGTAAAAATTTAGACAATATCAAAAAGATTAGTACAAATTAAATTATCAAATAACCTTGCAGATTTCAAGTCAACACATCGGCTTATATTTGATCCATAACCATCCGGCATTTTTAAACCTTTAAACCACTGACATATCATTCTTTTTTGCTCTAACGTGAACGAGTAAGGAGCTTTGGGCTTCATTACTTTACCGTCAGTTGTTGTTACTAACTCCAAATTTTTTCGCCGACAAAACTCTTTAATGTCCATCCTTGCTTTGACATTATCTTTACTCTTGCCTTTAACATCCATAATTGTATTAAAAATATTATCCAGAAAGTTCTTCTCAATGTGCATAACATCCAAGTTATGTCTTATCAAATTAGTTCTCCAATAAGGTAATGTCCAGAAAATACTTTTTTTAATCCAATTATGTTGAACACCATAACCCGGAAATTTAGATTCTGATAGCATTGGATACTCAATAATTGTTGGAATGTTGGAAAGTCTCTGGAGTATCTCATCACCACTTAATCTGGGTGGAGGAGGTGATCGCTCAATTCTGTTTTTAACAAATGCTTCTTTATTTCTTCGAAACTGATGATTAGCATGTAGAAACATACGATGACAATCAAACCAAGTATTTTTCCCTCCATGTTTTAAT